TAGAAGACGATTACGTGATCTAATGTTTTTACATAAGGTTGTAAACGGTGCTGTTGACTCACCACTTTTGTTAAGCACTGTCTGTTTTCACGCTCCCTTGCGGTCCAATCGATTTCAAAGTCCTTTTTACCCGTCTGCTTTGAATGTCGCGTCACCACTAACAAGAATGCAACTTGAATTTAACAAACTGGATCAATCTGCTGTAGATATCTTTAGCGACCTGATTGTTTTTTGACATAGGCTTGAGTCAATTATTTTTACATAGTCACGACCTTGTTTTGTTGCCTGCATGTATCCTTGATGACGAGCGGTGTACCACTATTTAGGCCTTGTGCTGTTTTTGGACACCCAACAAAAATAAAGATTATTATTATTATTATTATTATTATTATTTCCCCTTGTCTGACTCATATATTCAACCTCTCCTTGCAAAATGGCGTGTTCCCCAAGCGAATGCAACTGGCAAAAGTAACGGTTTTATACAAGAAAGGTAATAAAGATGAACTAGGTAATTATAGACCGGTTTCAATTTTGCCAGTGTTTTCGAAAGGCTTAGAAAAAATTTTACTACTACAAATGACTTCGTTTGCAGATAATCATAATCTAGTAAGTTCATCTCAATTTGGCTTCCGCAGACAACGGTCCACTGAGCTTGCTCTTCTTGCACAGAAAGAATATATCCTTAAGAACTTTGAAAATAAAAAACTAACTCTCGGTGTATTCATTGACTTTACGAAAGCCTTTAACTATCTTGATCATGATTTGCTATTTCAAAAATTAGAAATGTATGGCTTCCGTGGTCAACTGTTACTACTTATAAGTTCATATTTGTCTTCCCGTCAGCAATATGTACATATTAATGGTCATTCATCATCAATAAAATCTATTCGGTCAGGCGTTCCCCAGGGAAGCATCTTGGGCCCTTTTTTATTCAACCTTTACGTAAATGACATTGTAAATATCAGCCGATCAGCGAAGTTTATCATTTATGCTGACGGCACTAGTTTATTTTTTACTGGTGATACCGCCTCAGATCTCATAGATACCGCGAATGATACGCTAGAAAAACTAGCGAAATGGAGCAAATGTAACGCTTTAAAAATAAACATAAATAAGACTAAGGCAGTTCTATTTCGCCCAAAGAATAAACAAGTTGACATAAACAAGACCATATGTTTAAACTCTTCTAGAATTGAGTTAGTCTCTTCTTTTAAAACATTGGGTATTTTTTTCTCAGACAATGTCATGGGATTATCACGTTAACTACATTATATCCAAATTGTCCAGCATTGTTGGCTTGATATATCGATTCGTAATAAACACATATTTCCCCTTAAGGTAAAGTTGTTAATATATAATTCATTATTTTATTCCCATATAAACTATGGTCATCTAGTATGGGGCACAACTACTTTTACGAACTGTAAAAAAAAATATTCATTTTGCAAAAAAATATTTTAAGAAGTATTTGCAAAGTCCCACTCGAATGTCCAATGGATTCACTTTTTACTCAACTGGGTGTAATTAAAATTTTTGATTTGTATAGATATCGCCTTTGCGCAAAATATATGATTGAAAAAAACATGCATGTGCATCATCTTGAATATTTAGCGAATCTAACACAAAAGTACACTCGTACCAAACGCGCATTCTGCAGCCCTGGCAAGTGCCTCTTTTTAGAACAAATTATGGCCATTATACTATAGCATACACACTACCGACCATCCTTAACCACCTTCATATGCACAACATAGAACTTGACACGTTATCGGTGGGTACCTTGCGGGACATGATACTCTCTGGGCAAATCGGCCACGATTGAGCGGTGCCTTTGTGTGCATTTTCTGAGTATTTTTATATTTTTTTTGTAAAGGGGAATGTGCTTGTGTTTTGTGTATTGTACAATTAATTAACGTAGACTAATTTTCTGGTTTTTCCTTGAACGATGTGGGGCAGTGCTATTTTTTGTCTACTCTTAAATATTGTATTTTTTGTTACAGTGCGTTAAACGATGAGCAAGTGACGTTATGCTATAGTGCCTGCTTATTTTCTTTAGTTTCATATATCTCATTGCCAACTGTTCAATCTCTTTTTTGTTTAGTGTTCTCAGTGTATTTCTTTTTTTTTTCATGCACGCTGCTTGTAGCTGCTGCTTTAGGGGGGCTTAGAACTAGTCAAGCTGTACACACAGCTTTTTTCCAAAGCCCCCACCAACACTGTACCTTTCTTGTTGGAAAATAAACCTATTATTATTATTATTCCTACGAGCAGTGACCACCGACGACCTGGCACGACGTCGGCGAGACAATCCTGAGCTGCGCGCATTAATTGAACACATGGAAGAGCGCGGGAGTACCGTGCCCCGTGTTTTCTCACGAACCCTGCAGACCTTCGTCAATCGACAAGGTGTGCTCTACAAAGAAAACTTCGGAAACAACAACTAACCGTGGCTGCTGGTAATGCCGATCGACCTTCGAGAGAAAATTTTTTAAGCATGTCACGACGACCCGGCGTTTGGACACCTTGGTTGCAGCGGGAAACTGGCCCGTATTCGTGACAAGTATTACTAGCTCAAGCTCCCCGAAACCGTCCACCTCTACACCCGATCCTGCCACGAGTGCCAGCGACGCAAGAAACCTCCGCCGAAGCCGGCAGGTCTCCTGCAGCCAATTCCTACACCAACCGCACCGTTCCAGCAGATCGGAATGGATTTACTTGGTCCTTTTCCGCCATCGACCCTGGGAAACTGGTGGATAGTCGTTACCACAGATTATATCACGCGGTACGCAGAAACGAAAGCCCTTCTTTCAGGGACTGCTGTTGAAGTCGCCAAATTTTTCGCTGAATCCATCGGCTTCCGGCACGGCGCTCCCGAAGTTCTGATTACAGATCGCGGATCATCGTACATGGCACACCTCACCCAAAAAATCCTCCGGCTCAGTCACACCAGTCATCGTCGTACCACTGCGTACCACCCACAGACCAACGGGCTGACGGAGCGACTCGACAACACAATCGCCGACATGATCTGTATATATGTCGACATAGAGCACAAGACGTGGGACGACGTGTTGCCCTACGTCACGTTCGCCTACAATACGGCGGTTGAAAAGACCACTGGATTCATACCTTTCGAGGTGGTACATGGTCGGAAGGTAACGACCATACTGAACGCGTTGTTGCCCCATGAGCCAGCTGACAATGAAAGCAACGACGCCCAGGTGATTGCTCAACGGGCCGAAGAAGTCCGCCAGCTCGACCGACCCCTGATTTAAGACCAGCAACGCGTCGACGTGGGCGCTGTAACCTTCGTCGCAGGGACGTCCACTTCGAGCCCGGAGACAGGTTGTGGCTGTGGACGCCCATCCGTCGCCGCGGCATCAGTAGGGAGTTTTAGCGAGTCGTTTTTCAAGCACACGGTTCCGAAATCACGAACGGTACAGCTGGTCCGTTCCGTGAAACCGTACGTCGAATTCAACATACTTTAGCGAATCGTGAAAGTGGCGCGACCGTGTAAACGATGATGATGATCATGCTTAACGGTGGCGCCATCTTCTAGCAAACATGTGAAACATTCTGCAACGTGTAAATCCGTGGCGGCTCGTGTTTCCGGCGTGCGACTGATGTAAACAAGACGGCCGGCGTAACATTTGCCGGTCGGAATTTCAAGAACTGCGATGCTAGATAGAGTAAAAAGTGTCTGAACGACCGTAAAGGTATGTGGTGTGTCTCCGTCATCTTGAACTTGAACGATCGTTCACGTTGTGTGCCGTCGAACCAAATCATTTCGTCTGCTCGCGGTCGCCACGGCAGCTAGTCTGCCCGCAGATCGCAAACGTTTACTAGCATGCACCGTTTACAGCATTCACGATCGCTTACCGTTGTGAGCTGTCCTCGAAATGATTTGGTTCAACCTCTCAGATGAAGCAGACTAGCAGAACGACAAATTGCCTCCCGCTGTCATAAGCCTAACGCTCGGCTGGGTCGGCGAAGGCGGTCGCCGAACCGACCGCCATCTTTTTTTTACCCGAGTCGTGAACGGTGCTGGCTGCGTTGCGGCGACGACTCCAGCGGCCGGAATGGGAGAGAAACGAACGAGAAGAGCCTCCCGACTCCCCGAACGACTCGCGCGCGCATGCGCAGTGGCGTCGCGGATGCGTTCGAGGGCGAACCGTTCGTGTGGAAACAACCTGCTAAAACTCCCTAGTGAGAGACTGCTGAAACGGTACTTTGGACCATACAAGGTACTTCGTCGCCTTGGGGAGCTGAACTACGAGGTGATGCCCGACGGAACAAGAACATCACGCCACCCACCACGACCTGAAGCCGTCCACGTCGTGCGTTTGAAGCTGTACAAATGACTTCTTAGTTGGCCGTTCTTTTTATTTGCTTTTTTTTTGTTACATCGGGACGATACACTTTTTAAATTGTGTGTGTGGGGGGGGGGGGGGGGGGGGGAGGAATGCCGCGCCTGCAGCTGGCCAAGTAGGCAGTTCGAGCGCGGTAGTACGCGGACGTGGAATGGAACGCTCCGCTGGAAGTCCGATGGCGGCGGCTCCGAGCCACGGTGATGCCGTACGCGGCGATGTTCAAAATGACTGCGCAGTGATACTGCCTACCCTGCCGACAGGAGAAGCCATGAAGTGCAGCCTTGTGCTGCGTGTTGATACCAGGGAGTGGCCATACAGTGCTGAAGACTTCGTAGTGGATGAGGAAGAGGCCGAGGCGGCGGTGACTCTAACCGCGAGGATTTCTTCGCAAGACCCTCAGGCGTCCGGTGAGCAGCAACGCGCGCCGTTAGCGATGCCAGAAGGCCAGGTCTCCGTCGTAGCATTGACAGCAGAAGTCACTGTTGGTGAAAGAGCCTAACGCAAAGACCACCAGTGAGACGACA